TTTTTCAAAATGTTTATATGTGTACATATGTACACGTCATTTTAAAATAAATACGTACAACAAATCCCGTTTGAATAGAGAAAGTAAAATTGTGTAATATACATAATGCGGTCTTTGATTTAGACTACGCCCAACACATGTCTTAATTTTCTCCTCACTTCAAACATATCTAAATTTCTAAGTCAGTATTGGATGAATTATTTACCTCATTCTTCTTAAGAATTTTTAATTTTATGTTTATTGTGCGTTTTTTCTTTAACCTTAAGACCGTCTTTTTAATATACTATTATATTAATGTTAAATATTTTTTATTTAAATTGTTTTAACTCCGCAGAAACGCACAGCGACTTCAAACTTTCATCTCATATAACCGACCATCTCCTGGCGGCCGGTACTTTATCATCGATACAAAAATATAATTATATACTCCTGATATATGTAATCTATTTAATATTTAAGAATCTATAATATAAATTGAAATATTCATTGCGGATCAAAAATCCATTAATTATTTAAATTTCCCTCTAATATATAATAACACTTTTTCTTGCATTGTAATTTAATGAAATGACCCATTTGATATAATTATATTGAATTATTTCTTGATAGTAAAAACATAATAAAGGGAAATAATCAAATGTTGAACCCGCTTTTGATTGGTTCGTTTGGATCTTGAATCTCGAAACTCGAATTTTGAATCTCGAATTTCGAATTTTGAATCTCGAATTTCGAATCTCGTATTTGGAAACTCGAATCTCGAATGTACGAAAGCCCAGAAGGCTCATTCGAGATTCGAGATTCAAAATACGAGATTCGAAATTCGAGATTCGAAATACGAGTTTCGAGATTCAAGATCCAAACTAACCAATCAAAAGCGGATTCAACATTTGATTACTCCCCTTTATTATGTTTTTACTATCAAGAAATCGTTTAAAATAATTATAACCAATGGGTCATTTGATTAAATTACAATGCAAAAAAGAGTGTTTTATATATATTAGAAGGAAATTTAAATAATTATTGGATTTTTGCAGCAAGATATACTTCAATTTATATTATAGCTTCTTAAATATTAAATAGATTACATATATCAGGAGTATATATATTTTTGTATTATCTTCTACACTTATTATTTTTTTTTTGAATTTCCGCGCATAGGAAAACCACAGGTACTTGTGGACAGGACCCCCCCCCTCGATATTCAATACCAGGGCTTACTGGACAATTTTTTTTAACAAATTATATTTATTACACTTATTAATGTGTACAATACGAAAACATCACGGGCGCAAAACCCCCAGAATAATCGTTTAACCAAAAAAAAAAACCATTATACATTACCCCACCCCACTATACAAGAGAGGTGTCATTTAAGGAGAAAATATGGGATTATTACGAGATGCAGAGTCAATCCGATAGCATGGACTAAGACAGAAATATATGTAGAGATAGTTAATTTTAATCAACATTTTAAGTTAAAATAAATGCATGGTTTAAACCGTTTAAACCTAGAAATAGCAGTGGGCGTACAACGTAAACAAACTGGAGTGCACGTGGCATATTTTCTCTCTTAAATAATGTATAGTGGGGTATTTTTTGTGTTGAGCGATTATTCTGGGTTTTTACGATTTTTTTTTGGCATTGAACACACGATGAATAAGTGTATTTAATAGATATATGTTGTGAAAAAAGTCCAATAAGCCCTGGGGTTGAATATCGAGAGGGGGGTGGATGCCCTGTCCACAAGTACATTTGGTTTTCCTATGCGGGAAAATACATAAAAATTAAGTTTAGAAGACAATACAAATAAATATATATACTCATGATATAAGTAATTTTTTTTAATATTTAAGAAGCTATAATATAGATTGAAGTATATTTTTCTGATCAAAAATCCAATAATTATTAAAATTTCCTTCTAATATATATAACACTCTTTCTTGCATTGTAATATAATTAAATGACCCATTTGTTATAATTATTTTAAACGATTTCTTCATAGTAAAAACATAATAAAGGGGAGTAATCAAATGTTGAACCCGCTTTTGATTGGCTAGTTTGGATCTTGAATTTCGAATCTAGAATTTCGAATCTCGAATTTCGAATCTCGTACTTTGAAACTCGCTTCTGATTGGTTAGTTTGGATCTTGAATCTCGAAACTCGAATTTCGAATCTCGAATTTCGAATCTCGTACTTTGAAACTCGAATCTCGAATGAGCCTTCTGGGCTTTCGTACGAATGAGCCTTCTGGGCTTTCGTACGAATGAGCCTTCTGGGCTTTCGTAAAAAAGGGTGATTTAAATTTTTACGCGTTATTTTTTTACGAATTGAATATGTCCGTAAAAATTAAAATCATCAGATGTAAAATTCCAGATCACTGATTGTTAGCACTTTAAATGTATTTACGTGTGTCCCGAAAACCCGATGAGAGAGAGAGAGAGAGAGAGAGAGAGAGAGAGAGAGAGATATTAAATTATAATGATATAAACAATGCAACAAATTACATAATGTATTAAAAAAAATTATCATTTACTTTTTTATACACAAACCATGTGCCCTTCATTTACATGTATTCATGTTCAATAAAACACATAGCTACATGTAGGCACACCACGTGCTCGTCTGGATTTACCGAAAACAAGAGAGACAACTCAAAACTATCATAACTGAAGTGAAAGTATACTTGTACAGTGTATTTACCTCTATTATTACAATGGATGATTGACTTAAAAGTGTTCAAAATACCAACAGTACACTAATTATGTAGCCTCCAGGGAGTGAGCTTAATGACAATTAGCATTTACTTTTACTCATACGATGTTAAAAATTTACACGAGCCGGTTTATAAATTATGTGAAATTTTACGCGTTTAATTTTTACGGATTTATAAAACTCGTAAAAATTAGTAAAAATTAGCAGCACGTAAAAATACCTGTTATACGGTATATGCCCTCGAATCTTCGATTACGGGGACATAAAAACCTCGGTAGAATTAAGTAAGCATCATCAAATAATACGAAGTAATAGAAGCTAGATGTTTATTATAAAGACTGATGTTTTAATTTAAAAACTACAAGAAAATCAAGAAACGTTAACATTGCATTTTCTAAAACCAAAATGAATACCCGGTAACATTTTTTAAAACGTGTGGCTTTCAAGACCTTATACTCCCAGTTTCATGATTAGATTCTTTCTGACACCATAGACAGCTGCTTTCAACTAAATTGGAACTCTTAAGTTTACATACATTTTATTTGCAAAATCATTTTGTTAAGAAAAAAGAAATTATACAATCAAAAATTTCAAAGTTGATAAAAATAGATGCCTGAGTTTCTGATATTTATATCGATTGCGTTTCATCGAATTGCAATTGTTATTTTATTCCTACTATTCACTATATATCCATTTGAACAGTGTTGAACTCGAACTGAAAGACACGTTAGCGTTCTACAGTTTTGTTTCGTATTCGGATATTTTATTAGAAAAAGACTTTAATAGCAACTTAATAACAAAGCTAAATATGATAAAAATAATGAAAGAAATCTTCAAGTTCCATTGATTATGTATAAATATAATAATAATAATAATGATGATGCTATTATTGATATCTCCTGTCTTGTATGCTGTATATAGAATTAATGCCTTCAAATCGATTGAATACGCCTACTCTACTTAAAGGAGACAAGCTATGGAAAAATAAGTGATGTAACAAGAACATTACCAGTCTCGTTATAGGTCAACATTTTGCAGGTTTTATGGTCGAATCAATTACATAGTCAGCAAATACAATCTACCACCAAGACGAGGCTATGATTTTCACAATGAATCGTCTACTGATTTGTTCATTTGCCTGATCATAACAAAGAACACACGGCAGATGTGTCCCATCGACAAGGAATGCTCCTTCATCCATGGCACCTGATCCCACCTCTGATATATTTAGAGGTCCGTGTTTGCTCAGCTCAAAATTTATATTGTTTCAGTGGACTTTTAAGCTTTGTGACTGTTTGATCTTAAACAAAGTATTACATTCTTTGTCTCAAATAGCATACGAAAATAAAAAATTTAAAAAATAAAACTTTAAATTCAACGAAAACTAAGCATTAGATACGCTTTAAACTAACATGATTTAGAATAATGGGAACCTATTAATTAAACCAAACTGGAAAATACAAGGAAGCTACGAATTGTATCAATTTAATAAAATGAAATCTTTAGTTTTATTAGTTGGTTTTAATTTTCCCCTATGCTATACTTTTCTACCTTCTATTTTGATGGCATTTTGAAAAAAAAACGCATTAAATTGTAGCAGATCGTTAAGTTTTAGAGATACATGTGTATTAAGTACAATTTTGACAAGGAAATGAATTTTCGTAACTCATCATTAAAATAGACATTAATTTAATAATGCAAAAATTTTCATTTTACTTAGCTTTAATTTTTATTTTAAGAGCTCAATATACTTAAATATGCCCATTTCAAGGGGGGGGGGGGAAATGAAAATCAACATATGTTTTAAGCAGATTGCATGGTGTATCGACAACATTAACTACTCTTAAATACAGCCTTAATTAGTACCCTTTGGGATTAATAGAGATACAAACGTACCGATAGTCATTTTGGTTTCCCAATACATCTTGCGAGAATCAATTAAATCATTCGAAAACTAAAATAAGATTAATTACATGTATTGGTTTTCTTAAGTTATGACATGATATCATCATACTACATCATGATCGTAACCTCACCTGCGTGGGCATGACAACGCTTAACTCTCAATGTCTCTGATAACGGTACTGAAAAGAAACCAAATGTGTATGCTTTGTACTTAATATTGTTGAAATTGATCCAGTAGTTTACATGTATGTATCAGTAAACAAGGAAGGACAACATGCATTCAAGGGTCAAACTTTAATCGGAAAGACTGAATACTTGAACCTTTGCCTTACATAACCTAAGGTCTCAGACAATGCAAGCTATAATTTATTATTTATTTCAGGACTCACAGTAACCATAAACCCGAATAAAAACATCTTTTACTCAGAAATGGGTGGAAAGCCCACAGATTACATCACCTGCGAATCTGACTGCCATGCTTCCTGGAAATGCACATACAAATGGTATTATATTGATGGAAATGTAAAATATTTTACAACTGGAAAGATTTTATTCAGAGACAAAACCATAGTAGAAAATACAACATTCCAATGCTATGTAGAACAATCAAAGAATATATATAACTGGAGTCACAGAATCGAAATCATCGTAAATGGTAATTTTATTTATATCAAATGATACAAATGAAACTATGTATGATTAATAATTTACTTGTAAATTAGAGAAAATCAATAACACTTGCTATGAACTTTAATTTTGGATTGGGCTATCGAATGAATTCAAAATTGGCAAAATTTAATTTTTACGAGCCTCTTTCAAGATATTTTGTTTTCAATACTGAGAGTATTATATTCATCTATATGATATTGACTGTCAATAAAGATTTTTATTTTTGGTTGACATTTGTTTGCGATACCAAATCCATGCCTATTTTGAGGTCTGCATCAGGAAAATAACCTGATTTTTTCCTGCTTGGTTATTAATTACGCATACACTATAATATATCAACACACCATACAAAGTATACTCTTCATATTTTAGGGACCAATTACTAGTATTCATATCTGATTGTAAATGAAAAATACATTAAGAAAAATCATATCTATTCAATATATAAACTCTATTCAATATATAAACCAAAGAATCTCCAGCTCTTGACACTGATGTTGGAATAGACTTGTCTGGCAACAACTCTGAAACAACTTCCACCGAAAAAAAATGTGAGTATACACCTTAAGAATACAACTGATTAATTTGTGAATAGTTTCAAAGAGAAACGAAATGGAAATGAAAAATTTGGCTTTAAATTAAATGGAATATGTGGAGATAACGAACATTATTCGAGCTCAAAAGTCCATTAAACATTACAAAATAGGACCTCTAAAACATCAGAGGTGGGACCAGGTTGCATCACATGTCACATCCGCCGTGTTCTCCTTGTTGTGATCGGGAAATAACGGGAAAAGTCTGTGAACAATTCAGTATGCACAATGTAATTTATGACCTAACAAAGACAGTATGAAAATAAGTCAGCATTTGACTAAATGATAAATTGTATTTGCTGACAAGGTCATTGTATCAACCATAGAACTTACAAAATGATGACTTTAAACGAGACTGCTGATATACTTGCTTCATCAAGCTGTTTGTCAATAACTAACCTCGTTTCAGAATTTGTTCATACATAGAATATGCTTTGTATCAACTGAGATATATTAACTCTTTTTGAAAGTGACGAAAGTACTAGTATATTGCTGCATCAGTAAGGGAAGCTGACGATTGAAAAGTTAAAGCCATAACGTGTTAAATAAAATTATTTTGGACTCTCAGATGGATATACTTTGTCTTTTATCAATTTTGCATTTAAGCATCAAAATTAATCCAATTTATTTCAAAAATTCCAGAAATCTGTTGTATATCCATTTGCAATAAATAAAAAGTACCTTATGTCCATAACATGCATAATTATATACTTTTTGCCAGAACTTTGATTTTTTTAAAAGAGTTTTTTATTCGATTCAAATAAATTGTTTATTATTACTCAGATGGACCCAGAAATGTGAGCATTTATTCAACTGACCTTGAAGATGTGTGGGAAGGAACAGGATACGTCAACCTCACATGTAGAGCAGACTGTAATCCAGGGTGTGCTAGATATCAAATTTACCACGATGAACGAGTCCTCTCCAACACAAGCACGACATCCATTACAAAACATCGAAAAAATTCCGGAAAATACAGTTGTGGGGCATATGATGTTATGTCGGGGGAATTCGTCAGATCTGCTGAAGTAGATATTGATATCAAATGTAAGTATTGTTGAAGTAGATATTGATATCAAATGTAAGTTATGGTGAAGTAGATATTGATATTAAATGTAAATAATGTTGATGTAGATATTGATATCAAATGTAAGTTATGTTGAAATAGATATTGATAACAAATGTAACTAATATTGAAGTAAGTATGTCAGATCTCCTGAAGCAGATATCAATATCAATTGTAAGTAATATTGAAGTAGATATTGATCTTAATAAATGTAAGTAATGTTGAAGTAGACATTGATATCTAATATAAGTAATGTTGAAGTAGATGTTGATATCAAAGGTAAGTAATGTTGAAGTAAATATTGATATCAAATGTAAGTAAAATTTAAGTAATGTTAAATAGACTTTGATATCAAATGTAATTTGGTCTTTTCTTCGTTAGTCACTCGAGAGATAATGTATTCAACATAATTGTATTTAAAAAATGAATGGCATTTTTTTTTACTCAACCCATTATGAATCACAGCAATTTACCATGGTTGGAATAAAGTACCTTTCTTGAAAATAAACAAAATAAAATATTGTTCACATCTACATTGGCTGTCCTCTCTTTTTCTGATTTTGTCTTCTCACGAAATTATTTAAGTTTAAATTGTGAATTCATAAATCTATATAGGTATTCACATCCTTAAGTGATTGATTTAACTAAGTCATATTACGTACATGCCAGAGCAGCAAAAATTACTAACTACATGTCTTTTGTTAAATTAATTAAGCCCAATGATGACCATTTTCACTTGATAATTTTATTCCTTTTTAAAGAAAAATTTGTATGATTTGTAACATTAAACTTAGATGGACCCACCAATGTTAAACTGAATTCCTCAAGCAACCTTAAGGATTTGTGGGAAGGAACAGGAAACGTCAACCTCACATGTAGAGCAGACTGCAATCCACCATGTGCTAGATATCAAATTTACCACGATGAACGAGTCCCCTCCGAAACAAACGTGACGTCTATTACAACAGATCGAAACAACTCCGGAAAATACATTTGTGGGGCATATGATGTTAGGTCAAGAAGATATATCAAATCTGCTGAAGTAGATATTGTTATCAAATGTAAGTTAGATTTTAGTTTAGGTTAGGTAACTTAAAGTTATTTTGTACAACAGAATCCTATCAATCTAAAATAAGATTTCTTAGGTCTGCTTTATGGGTATTATATTTTCCTTCATCGGTAGAAATTCATGAAACAATTCGTCACAACAGAATATCTTTGGATGATTGATATGAGTCATAATTCCAAGCATCCCTTTCCATTGATTAAAGGACTATATATATATCACCCTGGCTTTCCACACTTCTAATGACTCTTTGTAGTCATTGTTTTAAGTGCAATGTTGAGGCATATCCAACAAAAATGCACAGCCCATTTTTTATTGTTCACGAATAAAATGCATAATGTTATTCAATTCCTTTATTAATAGATGGACCTAACAATGTGATTCTTGAACGATCAAGTAACACTGAAAATTTGTTGGAGGGCAATGGAACCTTCATGCTCACCTGCAAAGCAGACTGTAATCCACAATGTAATAATTATAAATTTTACCACAATGGACAAGCCCTCCGGATCAGAACCCAAACAAACATAGCATACATTACAAAAGACCGAAGAAACTCCGGAAAATATAGTTGTGGGGCATATGATGTTAAGTCTAGAAGATATGAAAAATCTGCTGAAGTAGATATTGATATCAAATGTAAGTAATCATGAAGTAACTATTGATATCAAATGTGAGGTATATTGTTTCTAAGGTAAGTTACATGAAAGTTATTGTGTACAATCTAATGCTTTGAATATGCTTCGCATGAATGCTTTTTACATGTATAAATGTTGTTAATCTAATACATGTATAAATAGCTCATAGACATTGTAAGCAAATTAAAATGTACGATTTTCTTCTTTGATCAGTTCGGACTTCATGAGATCATGAATTACATATGTATTACAATATATATGCCTGCGTATAAGAAATCTCTTTATCATATAATCAGAGAGTTGGGAAATACTGTAAATTACCGAATATATATCCCTTTTTTCGTGAAATAAGAATTTTTGATATAACACGAGAATCAAAGTATGGCGAGCAGATGATCTCATGTAACTTACGCTTGTGATCGATTGTATGTTGTTAGAAGTCCCATTTGAGAATTGTTCAGTCATATACATTTACATACCTAAATAGGGTTAGTATTACAAAAAAAAAAAAAAAAAAAAGAACGGAAAATTATTTAATTGTGATTCACTCTTAAGAGTTTTTTTTTTTAAGATGAAATGTTAAAAAAAAACTTTTGAAAAGCTATATAACATAATGTTATTGTACTCCCTCTCCGTAGGAGACGGTGTTATACTGTTTTAAATTTATGTGTCTGTGGTTCCGTTCGTCCGTGTGTCTGTCCGTAACAGTACTCATCACAGATGATTGAAATCTAGCACTCTCTGTTTAGGCAAGTCATATATTAATTGGGATTCATTTATATTTGATTCAGGCTAACTTCCTGTTTATCCGTGCGTCTGATGGTACAACATTTCTTTCACACTTTTCTCAGCAACTACGCAGCGCAAATGATTGAAATTTTAGCACACTCTTAGTTTAGGCATGTCGTATGGTGGTATTCAATTAATTTTGTGTGAATTCGATGTCAACATGAGAGGGTACATTTGTATATTTACATCAGAGCGGGAGTATTACTTATGAGCACTCGCCAACAGACCTCAAGTTATATCAAATAAAAAAATTAAAACAATATAATTTTATTGCAACATTTACAAGGGGTTGTTCAAAAAGTTCGTAGACGATGTCAATATTCGTTATATTACTCACTAGAAATTTAAAATAAGCACAATATAATATGTAAAAATATTTGTTTTGATTATGTGTGAAGTTTCAATTCATTCGATTGAACAGAAATCAATTTACTTCCAACATGTTTTGTACCCGCGGAGTACACTTAACGGCAATGTAACCTCAAAACATATCGTCAAGAATTTCTAAAAAAAAAAAAAAAAAACACAAAAAAAACAACAATCTCTATACATTTCACACAGTATAATCCAATGCCCGCTCATTAAATCTTTTTTTCTAATGCTTGACATTTATTTTTTAAGAATTGCTCTCGTTGTATAATTTCATTTTTTAAGGTTTTAATTTCTTTTATTACTTAACTATGCTTTCACAGGATAAGCTGAACTCTGAAGCGCCTTTGTCTTTCCTTGACGTTCCAACTTTTAAAAAAATTTGATCAAGCTTTTACAGTTAAACCGTTTTTTTCACAGATTTTCCTCATCGGATACAGAGTCTCTGTCACTCAAATACTGCCTGTATCATTTGTACACACATGCACAACTCGCTTGAAACATATTTTCTTGATTCCTCCAACATTTTTAGAGTTTATTTAGGATTTTTCCTGAGTAAAACACAGAATTGCATCTTTATAAGCCACTCCGTGACGTTCCAAAACGTTATCTTTTTTGTCCTTTTCATTAGGGTTTACCTAACTTCTCAAGTTTATTTCCTTTTAACAAAGCAAAATATAAAGCCATACTTTCGTATACGAATCGATGTAACAATTGGTTAGTGGATTATCTGTAATTTATCAAATTTTGACCTGCTCCGTGATCCAATTTTTGCACTTTAAAAATCTGGATAAGTTTTGAATAAATCGTAATATTCGGAAAAAAAATCACGTGTAATACAAATCATTTAGATTTATTAATTGTTAAAATATTTCTACCAAATTTGGAAAATAGAAGACGTCAAATAAAAAAAGATATGACAGTTGTCCACGAACTTTTCCAACAACCCTCGTACATTATATTTTGGTAAAATTTTTAAAGTATCAAACACATTTATGTTATTGTAACATTTCAAGAAAAAACGTTTTGATACCATTAAATTTAACAATAGCTGAAATATTTTTTTTCAAGAATTTAAAGCAATACAAAATGATGTGATAACAACAAAAGTCCTTTAAATGAAAATTTTAAATTATATGGAGCGTGCGCAAAGGAAACTCAAAACCACATTGATAAAGTTTTTAAGGCTCTTCGAGCTCTTGGAGATCGATAAATATTGATGCTAGATAAAAAAATCTGTAGATTTTTTTTTATAATACAGCAATTATGTCGTCAGTGATTTTTACTTGTTTTTATTTTTGGTAGATAAGACAGTTTCCTTATCATCAACTGAGAAAGAAATGTCACTAAGTGTAAACCATTATTTACCATCAAATGTAGTTTGCACTATTGAGTGCAATTTCTTGTGTGATTCTGACATTACAGTTACAAAGAATTCGATGACATACAGGATAATTAAGTCGAATCAGAGTATATTTAACAATAAAAAAGCCATTCCTTCAGATAGTGGAGTTTATAGGTGTTCATCCGGTACATCCCACTCTGAAGACGACTTCGAATTGAACATTTTATGTGAGTACAGCCACATAATAAACCATGCTTTATAACTAACATGTTTACACGTACACATATACAATGCTTTCATTACATCTAAAACCGTTTATATGAGTACAAATCTTCAGTGATGTTTTGTTACTTATGTTTATTTTAGCGCGTAATTAAGCATAAGAATACGTAATTATTAAATTTTGTTTTTCTCAAACCTTCATCATTAGAAATAAGCCTACGTAAAAGGTTTAATACCATCTCAAAGCCTCTTGAAAAAGTTTTAGGTATTTATTACAATGATACATTTAAGTCTATAACAATCTTACCATTTCATTAACAGAAATGATTCGATTTAAATATTTTATTGATGTTTTGTTTTTTATAACTTTTCTTATATTTATTCTTATCAACAGATGGTCCTAGAAACATCAAGATTACGAACTCTGAAGGAAAAGTTCAATCCGAAGTTATTTTGACGGAAAATCATTCTGAAAAATATAGATTAAGATGTTCGTTTGATTGCAGTCGACATTGTAAAATATCATGGTATAAGGATGGCAGAATTTTAGACAAAGAGAAAGGGCAAGACTTGAGTATTAGAATGGATAGATATAAATCTGGAACCTATGAATGTGAGGCTGATGGAGTTGAAGGAAAACTATATTCTAACACAGTGAACATAACAGTCCAATGTAAGGTTCACTTTTACTTATTCTCAGCTCTTCTTAAAATCATCAGAATTTCATACTTAGTGAGAAGAAATTAAGATATAAAAATATTCATAATTGCCTTTCTCTGAATACACCAAAAATTATAATATTGGCAATTCAAAAATATTACTCATTAGGATTATATAAGAATGACCCCCTCAAGTATCTTGTTTAATCCCTGGCATAGGGTACCTCAATTTTTTTGTTAGGAAGCTTGTTTTAGTAGCTATCCTTTAAAGACAAATTGTGGGAATTTATTTTTTTAAGCAATGTGTAGTCTGACCTTAGAAACATATGATAAAATATACATCAAAGATAACGAAAAGTAATAAAGCTCAAAAGTCCGTATAAGTAATATAAATTTGGATCAGAGAAAACAATGACCTCTTGACAACATCAGAGGTGGAATCAGGTGCCAGAGATGCGGAAGCATCCCCTATTGACCGGTCACACTCGTTGTGTACCCATTTCCATGATCGGGTAAACAGAAAAATCCATAGAAAATCCAGTGTAAAAAAAATAAAGAAAACGTCAGTCAAAATTCGACTTGAATACAAATTGTAAAATAATGTAGATTTATTAGCTAGCAGGCCATCTGCTTGTTTGTATTAAGAAAAAAGATTCAACCAAAATTGTGAACGTCATATATTGGCAGTGCGTTAATATACCAATGATCTTTTAGATAATACCATTATTCTTTCTTGGTTTTATGTGTCAAATCTTTAGAAACTGTGTAATTACCTAAGCAATTAACGTTACTATAGATGAGCACAATGCAATTTTATGTTATTTTTGAACTGAAGACCCGCCTGGGACTGTTGTAATAAAACCAAGCAACTATCCTTTCTACACTAAACGCTATGGAAGACCTCTAACTAAAATTACATGTGATGCGGACTGTTTACCAAAGTGTGACTACGAATGGTATGAAATAAAGAGGTGGAGGTGGTGGTCCGTCGAGGAAGTTTTATTAACTAGAGGCACTGTGTTAAATACATACGGGAATTTCACGAAGATATTTTCTCGACTTCGATGTGCTGCAATTAATTCATTTGGAAAGAAATACAGTAGATTGATATATGTGCGAATCAAAGGTTAGTCTGTCTGTCTGTCTCTCTCTCTCTCTCTCTCTCTCTCTCTCTCTCTCTCTCTTGTAAATTGAATCAACTTGGAGACATAGTATAAAGATATCAAAATGTTCAATTGAAATCCAAATCAATGAATTCTTCTTTTCGTGTAGATTTTTAAAATGATTGAATAAATTCTACTTCCAATGAATTTAAAGGTAGCTATTATTGTTTTACAAACAGCGTGACAGTTTGCTTGATAGTGCGTGCTGAAATTTCGTATGCCTGATTATCATTTTACTCATCGATTGGATGTTTGATTTCAATGGAATCAATAATACTTTGCATATGAAACACAGAACACAGCAATACCCCTGACAATACTGACCAATCGCATTGAATAAACAACAATAACACGTGAACGGACAAAGCAAGTTTTACATCCTATAATGATGATATTGATAGAGCAACGTACATATATAGTACAACAGAAGCAGAGTAGCCTTACTAATTCCATTCTTTAAATTTTCTTATACGTATTTAAAAACCCATCCCGTCAAATCACAACAAATATAATACATGTATGCTTTTTCGAAGACAGAAAATGGGCTTTGAGTGATCACGTGTTACTGCTGACTACAAATGCCGTACTGGTAAACAATCACTCAATGTGATTGGTCAGTATTATCAGGCTATTGTTGTATTCCGAGTTTCATATGCAAATTAGTATTGATTTCATTGATCCAATCGATGAGCAAAATGATAACTAGCACACAAAATTTTAGCACGCCCCATCGAGCAAACTGTCACGCTGTTTGTAAAACAATAATATTACCCGGTAAATACATTACAAATCACATAACTGTGTCTGGGTCTATGGCTCAATGGTAATTTTTAGAAACTCTCATGAAACTGGGAGTCCTATAGTTTAGACTCATTGTGAGTCACTGTATTAAATTTATATAATATATGTTATTTTGTAAACTGATGGACTGTATTGCCCAAAGTTCTTTTCTGAATAAACTATTACTACTATAGGATCACATTGCCAGTCTGTACGTTCATTTGTATTTCACTTTTATTTTGACTAGTTAACTCAAACAGCTTTTCACAATGTACTTTAAGAAGTAGACATCTAAAAATTTTAAGGTAGTATCACTTTATCTGTCTTAATGTTGATGTGTTTGAATGTATTTTTAAGTCACTTTTGTTTTGAAACGTTTAACTCGAGTTTTCTATGTAACATTTTTAGATTCTGAAGTATTGTACTATAAGAAGAAGATATTTATAAGTTTTGGTGTCATTTTACCTGCATGTAAGCTTGAATGTATATTTGTTGACGCGTAAGAGGAAGATATCTATTCAAGTTAAGGCTATGTCCCTTATAGTCTTTATGTTTTTCTGTATCCGTAAATGTTAATGTACATACGAGGGTTGTCCAATAAATAATGTCCTGCACTGTATGACATACAATACAGATATTATATGACATTAAGCGTGACTTTTTCGCATTATTGAATCTTTAATGAATTTATAACAATTTGTGACCACTTTTCATCACATAGTTTCATTGTGAGAAGCTGGAAAACAAGGTCTATTCGAGACACTGCATGTAAAATGAATGGTTAAAAATCGTTAAACTAGAGTGAAATTAAACGCTTCATTCATGCTGCTGTAAAAATCGTTAAGAATCCCAAAGAAATATTCACTGAAATATGTAACATTTACGGTAACCAATGTCTGTTTTATAGACAAATGAGCAGGTGGAATTAAATGATAAAAGATTATATAATGGGCATCAAAATGGGAACCGTCTTTGCCAACAAAAATAATAACAACTCATATACTGTTTGCCAATTTTCAAAAGATAATCACTGATGAGGTACAATTGACTTTAAGACACTTAGCAAAGGACAAGATAGGGTAAGACCAGTATTTGGCCCCCGATTTTAGGTGTCTTTCAGAAGGGTCCAACAGTTTATCGATAAAAACCTGTTGTCACCCCTGCCACAATATGAGTATTGGTTTTAAGATTTAGAATATACAGGGGTCACAGTGAGGTCAGGAACTAGGTCATTGTCGAAATTTCTCATTTTTATGCAAATTTTCATCAATTTTTCTTTCGGAAAACATAGAGCACACACTTGCCTATCTACCAAATTTATATATTAATATCAGATGCAGTTTATGTGTAAAAATCTCAGATAGGCAAGCTTATGCTCTATGTTTTCCGAAGAGAAATGTATCCCAAATATTATGAAATTCCACCAGAATTGAGGACATTCTGAAAAATGCCCAATTTCTGCACCCTCTAGTGGCTTCCTTGTAAGGTTTGAATCAAAATTAATGCTTGTTTTAAAGTAAGCATCATTTTAACTTCTTAACTACAAACTATCACAATTTTACCACTGTTTTGATTTTTACATCAACTATGGGGCCAGATTCGGCTGTTACCCTATCTTGTCCTTTGAAAGACATTATTTCGGGAGTAGTTCACACTGTTTTAAAGAAACGTTTGACAGTAAAAAAAAGCTTAGTACTCAAAGGTCACCCTATGCTTTGAAAAATGAGTGAAAACGACAGCGTGTAAGAATATCTAAACTATTATTTTTAGAAATGAAAAATTGTAGTTATATAAGTTTGTTTGAAATTCAGACAGATAATGAAACTTGAATCAGCTGACCATAGGAGGATGATATCATACTTTAGATTTTGTGGCATTTTGTCTTTTCGTTCGTTTACACTTCTTTTATTACAATATACTCAGTAACTCAATTCCTACCGCATTAGTATCGAAAGAAGATGTGGGAACAAGGCGGGCAAAATGCTTATAGCGTCAGATATTAAGAAATCATATGCAATATATGAATTGAGTATTTAAATTAACTTCTAATTATTGAAATTTTTGAAATTATGAGAAAAAAAAACTTTCTGAGAGAAAAGAAATATCGTAAAAAAAATTCTTTCATAAAATTATTAGATGGTATTCGTGGGATTCGAATCTAAGCAATAAAAATCCGACGTATCAAAAGCATGTATTACTATTTTGAGACAAACGCGTTAACCACTGTGCTACATCACTCATGGTGTTTTCGGGCATTTAGATCATGTTTGTCGTATGACCCGCGACTTCATGGACTTGAAGTATTTCTCGGAAAGATGCTTATGTTGTGTCATAAAGGTGTACTTTTAGGGTATAGTGGCTCTTCGCTTCATGTTTTTGTAAACCAAAAAATGTGTATTTTATTGCAAACTTTTAGGATTATCTTTCTAAAAAATTGAGCGAAGACCCACTCATATTGAAAAATTTTGTTTAAGTATGAGAAAAAGAACTTTTTTTTTTCTTTTTAGTGTGTGTAAACTTTTTCATAGGCAAATATTTTCAGTCTTTGTGAGATTTTTGTCAATTGTAGAGATTTTTACATAAAGTATACTTTAATATTAGATGAAATATCCAAAAAATGGATTTAATTGAGATTAAATTTTTCACTTCGTATCTGTCGCACTATAGGTACGCCTTATCCCCCCATCTTCTCTGTAAATAGATACCGTACATTTTAATAGGAGAAAAGCATATACACGGCAGGACAGACAAAGTGATATTATCACTGTCTGTCGTACCGTCTGTGTATATGTATTGATTATGATCCTATCGTGATCAGCGATGTCAAAAATGTTTCATTGTACATGTAAGTAACAATTCGGCATATTCTTAAAAAGGGCTTGATCATCAAAAAAAAAAAAAAAAAAACACTTTTCTTAAATTTTCTTATCATATTATTTTGAACATCTTCCGTTCATATGTGCGTCTTCTTGTGTGATCAGTTTTTCAATATCATTTAATAATTCACAAACACATATTTCTGATTATTTAATAAAAAATTCCTTAAGTCATTCGTATATTTTTTTTTCTAAACATAACTTTTCTATGACAGCACTCTAACCGTGTCAGTTTTTCTTGTCTGATCTAAAACTGACGGTATTCTCTGTCTGTCTTTACCTTGTCTCAAAATGCTTCAAAATTTGCACTTCTTGTCAGAATTTTCAACCAATTTTTGCATAAAGCATTTCTAGAGGATGGGAATATCAAATTATAAAATCAATCATGAGATCAAAGTTGACGATGATTTGGATCGGTTTAAATTAAATAATAAAAAAATATTTCTTTTTCTTATGAAAATACAAGTCAACAGTATTCAAGTAGCCTCATAATTCAATTTCAAATGTAGATTGAAATACTTAAAATCACTCAATATACAGAATCCATGTACAAAGTGTTTGATTCAATTTTGTTGCTCACACCATGGTTCATTTGGCGGAGATGAGGTCATTATATATTGTTTGATACCAAAACGTATATATATTTTCCTCTTATAGTTAAATACCTCAGTGCAAAATTTAAAAATGTTAGGTAGAAAACTCGAGCAAAACTCTTCAAAACAGAAGTGACATAAAAATACATTCAATCCTGTAAAGGAATTTAATTAATACATAAAATGTTGTAGATAAAGTTGTTTAAAATGTTCAAATTATGGTGCCTAGCATCTATATTTTGAAAACCATCATTACATCCCATTTAAATTGTATTGAATAGAATATGTGCATTAACGAGGTACTGCATATATTTACAGTGTACCTCCAATATTTTAGAAATTAAATTCTATTGGATTGATTCAAGCTCCAAGTTTTGATATAAAGTTTTCTAATCAATGTATTTATCATTATTTTGTTTTTTTTTTCAAATAACAAGATGTTTGATCAGTTTTTGACTTTTTTGTATTTCAGTGTATTATGTTGCAGTGGTATAGAGTTGTCTATTTTTCAGTTATAGTTTAATGAAGAAAAAAATTGTATACGTACTTAGATAATGTTTGCTTACATAGGGCACAGTGCTTTATCTTCTTTCAGTATTTTGTTATTCATTATTTTTATTCGTACATATAAACAGATGGGCCTGATTCAGTCAGCATTTATGCAGAAAGTTCAGAAGCAAGAGAAAATCAACCGTTTGAACTGCAATGTTCCGCTCGTTGTTATCATGGATGTTTATCCTATACATGGCTTCACAAGAAAAATGAAATTCATAACGGAACAAATCTAAAATTCGATAACCTCTTGAGAACAAATAATGGTGAATATACTTGCAAGGTTGAAGACTACTTTGGGACAACTTCAAAAAATTATTTTATAAAAGTGCAATGTAAGTATATATGTATTCCTGCAATAATTGTCAGAAAATGTATTTTTTATTTTAAATATCATTTGAGTTATGTTGATGTTTGATTTCATTTAAAGTTGGTCCAACAAATGTAACAATCAAGTATACTAACACTGACGGACATTTAGTGGAAAACATATTTGGAAATGTAGATGTAACTTGCCAAGCAGATTGCAATCCAGCATGTTTTTACACGTTTTACCGCAACGGTCAGCAAATAAGAAATCGGTTGGGAGGTCTGCTGATTTGGAAAACGAAAGAAAATTCAGGGCGGTACAGTTGCTCAGCAAATAACTCTTTTAGTGGACCCATAAATTCCAGTAACTTTGTAGACATACTTATAAAGTGTAAGTTATATTTTGCAATATTTGAAAGTTAGTGTTAATTTGATATACATGTACATTACATTCTATGAAGTTCTTTGAGTTGGACCACTCTGAACTGCTTGAATAGTATGATTTTACATGAATTCTTTGTAAAAATCAATGTTCGTGATGGACCACCATTCGTGGATTCTCTGGGTCACCCCTATCCACAAATTTACATCTCCATGATCTATTTTCGACAACAATATTTATTCACTGAATCTTCTGTATATACGAGTTCTACACACAAGATAACTTCCCCTCGAACTAACAAAAAGTTTGTTTGTCCACAAACATTGACCCCAACGAATTTTATTCCACGTATACGTATGCAAAACAGACATTTGACGTTACATATTCTTCTCAAAGAAAATAAAAATCCATCTACCTAATAAGTGTTATAAGGTATGGAGTTTAATATTTGTAAAGAAAAATAGGTAACATCAAGTGTCTTTGAAATGACATTATGGTATTTGCTAAAAAAGTATCCGATATATTTTTCTTCTTCTAACTGTTTAAATTTAAATGATGTTTCAGATAAATTTCAATGTTAACAAGGAATCTCCTTGCAGGAAAAAAGACAGCATTACTATTATATTAAAATAAATAAATTAATTAACCTATAGTTAGATGTTTACTTTCAAGAAATGAAGGTACTCTGTACTTATTTTTGGCGTTTTCAAAATTTTATGTAAAAGTAGGCCATAAACTATTTTGGAGAGAAGTAAACTAGTAGTAATGAAATATGCCTTTCTTTCCATTTCAACCCATTGTAATTTTGACATGTGACTTTTTAAGTCAGGGGAACATTTGTTTTACATTAAAAATAATCAATGTAATGTATTTAGGTAAACCCATTTTTTGACGGAAATTTGAAACTGGTACGCTGAAAGATTAAAACAAAATCACCGTGATATAAATTTCGTTTTGAAATGTAAAAACACTTCAGCTCAACTAGTTAAGTACTGTATTTGTATTTCAGATAAACCAAAAATTACAAGATTTGAAATAACTCCAACAGACATCACTGTCCCCGGCTTAATCAGCTTGAACTTTGAGGTAGATAGTTTTCCACCAGCAAATGTGACAATTGTTTTCAACAAAAAGATGTTGAGGTTTGCTAATGTGACGGGTATGGAATCGTCCAAAATAGAGATCACATCTTGTCTAGATGAAGGAGATGTCAAAATAATTGCTAAAAATAACATCGGATCTGACATCGACACCAAAAGAATTACTACTAAGTGTAAGTATTTGTATTTCACCATGTAAGTTTTTTTTAGCCCAGTCATCAAATAAATGCATTTTATCGACTAACATTATGTTATAAACCAATTTGTTAGATCCATAAGGTTACCAGTCAAAGATAGGAAAGAATAAAATATATATCAGCTACATTTAATTGTAAGTTCATTGATAGTATAATTGACCTTTGATTAAACAATTTTTCATCTTTAAGTGAAACATATACTGTTTACCAATCAGGACGGATCATCTGTAGCATTTCAGAGTAAAATCTTGGGTAAAATTTTAGAATGAAAACTAGAGGGTACTGTGAGCACTGAGCTCACTAAATAATACCTACCGCCTCCCATATGATTGATTGATTGTATACTGTTTAACGTCCCTCTCCAGAATATTTCACTGATATGGAGACGTCACCATTGCCGGTGAAGGGCTGCAAATTTTGGCCTATGCTCGGCACTTACGGCCTTTGAGCAGGGAGGGATCTTTATCGTGCCACACCTGCTGTGACACGGGGCCTCGGTTTATACGGTCTCATCCGAAGGACCGCCACATTTAGTCGCCTTTTACGACAAGCAAGGGGTACTGAGGACCTATTCTAACCCGGATCCCCACGGGATCCTCCCATGTGATTATAATGACAAAACCCATGTTTTATCTTGGGAGACCCGAAATAAATGTCAGATAAAAATGTAAAATAGGAGGTGCACAATGGCATTATGCAATAAAGAATCTGTGAAAGTGTCATAAAATATTATTCAGTGGTCTCGAAAGAGTTGCAAATAAGTGATGGGTACCATTCCATATTTTAGAAAGAATGGCAGGGTCCATCTTTTGCTATGAGAAACTCGAAATATGTGTCCAAACAAAAGTTAAAATACCCGGTAGGTGGTGCACAAAGGCACTGTGTAAGAAAAATGTTGTGAAAGTCTCATTAAATTTCATTCAGTGGTATAGGAGCAGTTGAGGATAAGAGATGGGTACCCAAAAGCGTAACAAATGGACGGACATTCCGATCACTATATACTCTTCCACTTTTCAAGCGGGAGTATAATAATACTAGAGGTACCGTGAGCACTGAGCTTACTAAATGATATTCCGCCACCCATGTGATTATTATGGCAAAATGCATCTTTTGCTCTGGGAAACCTGAAATAAGTGTGAGATCAAAAAGTAAAATATTAGGTGCACAATGGCATTATGTAAAAAAGAATCTGTGAAAGTATCATTAATTTTATTCAGTGATATAGCAGGAGTCGTGGATAAGAGTTGGATACCCTTCAATATTATTGAAAGAATGGCAGGTCAATGTTTCGCTATGGAAAACCCGAAATATGTGTCCGATCAAAAATTAAAACTAGAGGTACTGTGAGCAATGAGCTCACTAAATCACACCCCCCTCCTCCGCATCCCATATGAATATAATGGCAGAGTCCATAGCTATGGGAAACCCATAATATGTGTCGGATCAAATAGTAAAAGAAGAGGTGCATAATGGCACTATGTAACAAAGATTCTCTGAAAGTCTCATCAAATTTCATTCTGTGGTATGAGAAGTTGTGGATAAGAGATGGGTACCCCAAAGCGTAACAAACAGACAGATGGACATCCTGATTACTATATACCCTCCCACTTTTCAAGCGAGGATATGCTAAGAGGTGCACAATGACACTATGTAACAAACATTCTGTGAAATTCTCATTAAATTTCATTCAGATGTATAGGAGCTGTTGCAGATAAGAGATGGGTATCCCAAAGCGTAACAGAAAAAGTTATTTATGTTATAGATTTAAGGTGGAATATCCCTCTGATAAGAAAGAAAACTTTCTGGAGACAATTTTCCATGAGATTCATTGAATTACAGTATCTCGTTAGGTTTCATTTATAAGGACAATTTTTATAGTCAACTCAATCGAACCTGTTCTATGTTGATTTCTAAGTTCTATGCCAATATTTTTTTTATTATTTACAATAGTTTACCTAAAACATTTAAATTAAGTTCCTTTAAACGGTGTAAATTGAGATATTTCTATCTCTTAACATATAAGCCATTTAATTATTACTAAAATTTCACATTTAGTTAAAATTTTGTTTAGCTAAAAATTATTTTCAAGGTCAATAATGGAAAGATAACTCTTGTTGATGGATGCGTATTATTTTACTAACACAGAAAAGAATTTGATATTTTGATTTAAAAAGCAACGCTTCAGTATGTTTTCTAATACTAATTAGACAGGCACGAGAGTAAATATTATTTTCATATATACCTCATATTTCTAATTTTATTGTGATATAAAATATAACTGATCTTTCTATTTACCAAATTGAAATTTCTTCACATGATCAGGAACCTATATACTAACGGGATAGGCAACTCCTTCATCGTCATGTTTATCTACCCAAAACATCACGCACAACACTACAAGTTTTTCAATTTACGTTTATTCCTGGTAAACAGGGTGTTTTCTGATTATCATCATTTATTCCTTTTATGTATTGGTGTTAATTTATTAATAAATTTTAAAGCGTAATAAAAGTATAATTTAAATATAAAGAAAACAAACACCAAAATCGGCGATTTCTCGGAAATATGGCCGATCGGGGCATGTGCTGATTTTGCATAAAACAAAATTACTACTAAGATAAGGAGTATAATATGTGCTAAAACATATCTTGAATGATTTTTTGACAGATACGTATTTAAAGGATTTGATCTCAAATATGCGATAGCTTTAGAGATATAATTAATTAAAGTTGACTTACGAAATCCTGCGACTTACGAGATATCGCGAGACTTGCGGTAGTTGCCTATCCCGTTAGTATATAGGTCCCTGACATGATTTAACATATTATTTAATTTCTGAAAAAAGTAAGCAACGCTTTATCCTTCAAACTATTTTCCATTTGAATCCAATGTTATTGTTGTTGATGAAAATCAATGTTTGCAATTAATAAATAAATTGGTGAAATTTGAAGCAGAGGGATATTTCACCTTAATTACAATGTTAAAAGGTCATATTCACTCACATGACATTGGCTATTTTCGTTTTTGATTTTTAAAAAAGTGCTATGGACAAAATTTGAAGCCATTATCAACTATTATCAACGATATAGTTACCATCTACGAGTGTTTTTGAAACTCAACATCACAGAAAGATGATTTTCCTTATTTCATAAGAAAACCATTGCCGTTATCAGTTCTCGAAAACACCAGACATATGATTATTAATACACATATACATGTAAATTCAAATAATAAAATGCCATAATTATAATTTTATTGTTCAAAGTTTCATTCAGAATTTTTTCTTAATCATTTAAAATACATGTATGTACAATTTTTAACATATCTTACAACCTTTGAGAAAAAATGTATAAAAAGAAAAGAAATTTGATTCATGGCATAAAAGTTTTCATGATCTCGACACAAAATCATATGTAGGAGATCAAAAGATTAAAATGCTTATCATCACACATGATATATATCTCCAGGCTCTCCTATGATCCTCACGTATTCAAATGTCTCAAACAAAGGATATAACATTGGTGATCCGTTGAACTTGACGACAACTTTTATGGCAAATCCAGCTCCAGGTGTTTCGTGGAGCTTTACGTCCTACAAATCAAGAAACATGTCACAGAAAGTTGAGGAAAACCTGATACTCAACAAAGAGAAGATGACAAGTATTATTGTCGATAAACTAGATGTAGACAAATTCGGAATCTATCAACTAAAACTGGTAAATGATATTGGAAATGAAACAATATCATTCAGCATCAAAGGTAGGTGAACTTACTCAATTAGTTCAAAACTGCAAATAAATCACACAATTTTACCGACTACGAAGCTGGTTATATTTTGTTGCAATTCTTATTTGTTATCCCCACCCACAAATTGAGTGTATTTTGTTTGATCCGAATACATACATTGTATATGAAAATTGCAATAGGATCCTTAATGCAATTTATACATAATTACTGGATTGATGATCCAACGTCTTTAGCATTTTGCGCAGTTATTACACTCGTACATCATCTTTTCATAGTCTTAGAGAGCAGTTTAAACAGTTTTCATCATAGTGTAATGGCCATATTTACTTTAACATTACATTTCTTTGCAAAGGCTGTAGGAAACGATTTTGAGTTCTTAAAAAGAAACTTCTAAACTAAAAAATTCAATTAAATACATGATATTACAATTATTATGATAAATCGTAGGTTGATAACTGTTTGAACGATCATCGTATACTTATGTTTGTTTTGAAGTATATTGAAAATTGTTTCTGTTAATAAATACATCTTTCTTTTCGAATAAACAGGTCTACCACAACCATCAACTGATCTGACCTTGGACTGTCTTAGTGCAGCTTTTTTGGAATGGAAACCTGGATTTGACGGGGGAACGGATCAAAGTTTTCTTATAGAATACACAACAAATATATCCTCACCATGGCTCCCGCAACCGCTGCTGTCTATAGCTTCTAAGGATAACGACCGAATGTCTACTTATGTAACTTTGATGAACCCAAACGACCGCTATTTTTTTCGTGTTATTTCAGAAAACGTTTTTGGAAGAGTTATTTCGGATAAGATCGTCAACTGCACTGTTCAAGGTAGGCATAAATTACACACGATACATATATTTAGAAAAAACCCAAATATTTCCGTCCAGCACATAAACATTGACCCTATAGACTCTTTAAAAAATTACATCTCAAAAGTAGTGTATCTGAAGTTAATATGATTCGAAATCATTTTCTAACAACATATTATTTATAAATTCCATTAAACTACAGCTGTTGGAGGTGAAGAAAGTTCCCTAAGCCTTGACACCATTGCTGGAATCAGTGGTGGGTTGGTTCTGATTTTGGTGGCTGTTATAGTCCTTGTGCTTTTCGGAGTCAAGAAATATCAAAATCAAATCAGAAAAGGTACGTAATTTGTTTTTTAAAGTTATATGAACATTTAAATTTTAGTTAAAATAATTGATATGTTATGTTTAATTGTGAAGGAAACTTTACGGACATCTTCTTAATCAATAAAAATGAATTAACCCAAGAAATTTCATATGTACATGAAGATACTATGCTAATGATTTGAGAGAAGCTTTGCATCTTTTTAATAGGTCAAAAGGCAAGGTAAGTAAGTGCTAAAAAAGAAAAAAATATTATAAATAGTAACCTGTATACTTTACATCACTTTCTTAGAATTACAGATATCTTTAAGTTTTTACAAAAAAATATATTAATTTACTTGTACATGTATAAATAAATTAAATATATTTGACAAGTATTTCATGTATATTTCGGTCCCAGGAAACAAAACGCTGTCCAAGAAGAAGGTATATAATTATCTCTACTGTAACAAAATAGTAATTTCCCTTTTTAATTATCATACTGCTTGTCACATTGTAGATATCTTCCTTATTGCGTCTTTTACTCTGTAATCTTTGTATATTCTTCAGAACTCCATATAACTACTGATTTGATATTTGCATGTGGGAATATTTAAACTGCTTGATTTGATAATATTTGTAAAGTTATCTTGTTTAGTGAATCAGTTTTAAAAGATTAGAAGAATTTACCAACTACTTATTTACATGTACGCATGAAATGAAACTTTCTGAATTTCATATATACATTATATTTTAACTATGAATATTAAAAATCATAAACTCCTAACAACAGTTTCGTATTTGAATTTGAGGTCAAAGGACTGGTAAAAAAGTCTTTTAAAAAATCATTCTGCCATTGGATCTCAAACATTTACTCTCATTCAATTTAACTAAATAAGTATATAAACAATAACATTAGAGACGCATATTTCTTTTCATTAAATACAACATAAATAATTGAGAATCCTTAATTTTTTCATGGTCTTTCTTTGATATATGAACACTTTTTAATTATTTTTTAAATTTATTATTAATTGGAAAACATCATTCTACAGATTGCAGGATGGGCATGATTGAGAATACCTTATATATCAGTGGTGACAACGTAAATAATTCTACAATATTGTCCTCAAAATATCCACAGAATGATGCCGTTAACACGGAAAGCAGGAATGACGTTTACTCAGTTGTTAAAAAAACTGAGAAGATTGAACCTGACTTCCCCATGTACGCTGAAGTCTGTAAATCCCGACCAGTAAAGGGTGAGTACTAATAATCCGTTAACCAGAAAGATGGTGATAACATTAGACGTTGGTGCCAATCTAGGAAAAGAAAAGTTCTTCATAGGAAACCCCCCTTTCCTTATTAAGTATAATAGTGCATGTACATGTATGCTTTATACAGGTTTTTAATTTTCTTCTAAAATGTATTTGAAATATAACTTCATACCTACATATATACTTCATACCTACATATATATGATATAAATTTTCATTTATATATATATATATATATATATATATATGAATGTGATGTATTCTTTTCATTATCTTTACAGATAAACCAGAAATAAAGAAAAAACCAGCAAAGAAGACTAAAAATAGCACGGGCAAAGTAAGTAAGCTTTGACTCTTTCAAATATTTAGATAGAAGGCGTTAACTGCAGTTTGACAATGGTCATAGACCTAAAATGGTTTAAACTTTATGTCTATGACTTGGTTAGCTTCATGAGAGCTAGGGGATTTCAAAATAAGATCTAAGTTTCTCTAAGCAATTCAAATTTCAAAACGGAGTACTCGTTGCCATACATTTACGCATTTTGGAATCCTTATTTACATATATTGCAGACCGTCAACAAAGATGGACTGGTTTACGTGGAAATCGATTTGAAAAACACGCCAGCTTTAAGCGGGAATTCCGTCATTCATGGATCGGACAACAAGACGCTGTATGTTGACATTGATTTTACCCAGCATGCCGACCCACTTCCGGAGTGTGACGTAGAGGACACTAACGACGCCAATGAAAACGAAAAGAAATCACAACAGGAATAAAGTAGCACGAGATAAACGTCAACTTAGACACTGAAATTTACTGTCGATTGCTGTAAAACTCTACAATTGATAAGTAAAATAGTCATAAAAACATGTAAAAAGTGTCACTTTGATAATGTTAAGTATTTTTAGCTTGCTTCAACGGATTTTGAAAGTTTCTGAAAAAGACGTCTATGTTCCATGTAAATGATATTGGATCAGATTTTTTTCAAGCATTTTTATGTTCTATATTGATCAGATATGCATAGTTGATGTTTTGTAAATTTAAGAAGATACTGTACTTATGTAAATGAGACCAAATTTAATAATGTTTAGAAGCAGGTTAAACTTTTTGAAGCATGTCTCAAGTCCAAAAAATTATAAGATTTAAAGTGAAAATACTCAAAATATTGATCTTGTCAGGCACTGTAAGATAAAAGACCCATATTGGAGGGTGACCTTGCTTTCGATAGTAGTAACAGTGTGATTGATTAATTAAGCACTTTTCTATTCTTATTTTCAAATTCCTATTGCAAGAAGGGTTCTGTTTGTATATCTACAAAATGTGAGTTTTGATACTATTACTATTTTATTATCAAAAAATATTTAAAACTCAAATACATCGATAAAAAAATCTTCGTTTTTTGTTTCAATTTTTTCCTAGCTCTGTTTGTATTTTTCTTTACTTTCTAAGTTTTATGTTCAATAAAAAAATATAGTATCTATCACTGCTGTGTTGTGTAAATATGTATATAAGGTTTATACAGATGTTAGTGGCAATATAGATATTATATTTTATTTTGTATTTTACACTATGAAGAAACTAATATAAACATATAAATTGATGGAGGAGAAAAAAAATTATAGTGATGAAAGTCGCAGGGATGATACACTTAGATCATATGATGCACAACACCTGACTTTGGATCAAATGCTGGATTGGACCTAAATTTTCAGGATTATCTTTAAATCTGGTAAGCCGTAACCCATTTGAGAACATATGATGTTTGAACCAAACTTGTATTGTTTTTGCATTAAAGGATGCACATCACCAGAGATGGCTGGGATGCTGAATTTGATCTTCGTTTTCCTATGGGATAAGTGGTCAGGTTTAGCTTTTCAGAGTAAGCTGAATCCAACGTTACTTCATGCACCTTATCTGTACCAGACTGTTATGGAATTTACATATAGTGATGCACACTATTAGATAAGCTTCATGTTCTGGACTCTGTTTTGAACAGGTACATGTTCATTTAAATATATTTACATTCGCTGTGTTTTTCTATTAAGCCAACTGTGAAATTCATTTGAAAGTCATTTTTGTGTATACTCACGCGTAGAAATATACACGAAGAAACGTGTGTTAATGTGACGTCACAATGGGGCTGCAGCGACGTTAGTAAAAAGGCAGCGATAAAGGGCAGCGAGAAATTCAAATATTGAGTATATTTTAGTTACTCCCGAACATGTTAAATATAAATATAAGGAATGTTTTTCAGTTAAGTGTGAATTATTGGTGTGTGAATCACACAGACTTGCACGTAGGC